TTCTGTGGTAGTGTACTTCGTTCCCAAGCCCACTTAAAGGTCAGACCACAAAAGGCGTTCACGCTTGGAGCTCCCAAGCCTCAGCCAGAGAGCCTACGCCAAACCAAGCCGAAAGCCTCATCCCAGTGCACCAGGGAGGCATCCTAAGCCCTAAACCCTAAACCGCCATTTCCATTCAGTGAGGACTTTAGTCTGCTGCTTTGCCTGGGTATGTTGAGCCTCGGCGCCGCCAAAAGCACCTCGGACTTCAAGGCTTCAGCGGACAAAGGTCTTAGGGTTTACGGGTTTACGGTTTAGGTTTCAGGCTTCAGAGGATAAAGGTCTGGCGTTTCGGGGCTTCGAGCTTTAGGCTCTCAGCAGGAGTATTTGTCGTTTTTGTCGTAGGTAGGAGTGGTCGTAGTAGTAGTAGTAGTAGTAGTGGTGGTGGTGGTGGTGGTGGTGGTGGTGGTGGTAGTAGTAGTAGTAGTAGTAGTAGTCGTAGCAGCAACAGCAGTGCAAGCAGCAGCAGCCGAGGAGGAAGTCGTGGTCGTCGACGTTTTCATCATGGTATTTGCATCAACTGTCGTCGGGGAAGCAGCAAAAGGTAGAAGGGGTGAACACATTCTGGATCATAGCGACATCAATCCCTGAAAGTTGGTAGTGGCACTGATACAGAAGGGTTCGCTTGCATGCTTATGCGAGCTGCTGCACGTATGAGGTTCCGCAGGCACTACACCTTCGTTTGCACACCGCACTTCCAACATTCTAACCTTTCTTAGCCTTAAGGGCTTAGATTTCTGAGGTGATGTGCGCTTCAGACACGAGAGTGCAAATGTCTCCACAAGCTGCTTCACAAGCTGCGAAGGGCAGGAGCTACTGCAGGGACGGGTCATCTTCTTGATGTTAGCATTTTCAGCGTCTAGACCTTAGAGCCTAAGGAACTGCGCCCAATTCCGTTTCAGAACGACGCTGAAGTCTTCAAAAAATACCAGCAGACATCTAAAGAGCGTAGAGCTGCAGTCGCATTAGTGGTTGCTAGTTCGTCGATGTTGCAGAAAGCTTGATTTCAAAAACTACTCTGTTACTCGTAGGTTGGACACAGCCGACCTGATGCTGATGTTTTTATCCAGTGGCGAATGCACTCGTAACTGAGATGTTGATTCGTGCACGGAAAATGTAGATACAGTAGCCTGTTTAAGCCTTAACACGGAGCTAAACCCTAAACCCTAAACCCTAAACCCTAAACCTAAGCCCTGAATCGCAAAAAGTGGCGAGCACATCATCACCCGCGTCGCATTTCGAACCATGAGTTCCAGTCCCGACACCCTAAGCCCGAGCCCGAAAAAGCTTTGAATCCCCAAACCCCAAACCCTAAACCCTAAACCTACGATCGGAAATCTTGAACTGAAACCCTAAGCCCCAAACCCCTAAACCTATACCCTAAACTCAAACCCTAAAACCCTAAACCCTGAACCGCAGTACACGAATATATATATATATATCTATATATATCTATATATATATATA